CAAGTACTAAACAGCTGATTCAAGCTAATAAGTTAGTATGGTAGAGACGACGTCTTTCTGCTGATTGGGTGACCTAAGGAAACAGCTGCTGCTGTGTCTGTGTGTGACTTTTACCTGATTCAGCGACCTGCGAGATGTCGACTCCCTGCTCGTTAGCCATGAAGCCCAGGATAGAAAACACGACAAAACCAGCAAAGAAACTAGTTCCACTGTTTATCAGAGCCAAGAGGAAAGCGTCTCTGCAGAGAGGAGAGAGAGAAACTCAAAATTAACACTTTTCAAATCAAGTATCTCCTCTGAAAATAACTCTGTGAGTCATGACTGTCTACAATGGGTGTAACACCCGAGTCCCACTGTCTGTGATGTTTTCAGAGTTTTCAGAGTCCTATCTTCACTTTGTTTACATCGCCCGGACGGCCGGCTGACTCCTCCCCTCGTGTATAAAAGTTGTTTAATTGAGGGACTAGAGAAAAGAAGAATAACATACTGTACTCACTGCTTAACTGTGTTTCTAGATCACGCTCATTTCAGGTAAATTTACATGCAGTGTGAAGATACCAGCATAATAAAGATCGCTAGCATTAGCATGCTAACACAACAATGCAGCGCCAGTTGTTTTGGTTTCATGCTGGTGCTCAAGGGCGACATCTGCTGGATCAAAACATCACATATAAAGCCTTTAATAAGACAAAATGCTTAATACCTGAAAATGTTCCAGATAATCAGACATGAAGCTTCGAGTGGTTTTTTAAGGGTTAAGGATTTGATTTAAGGATGTTTTGTTGTGGTGTGTGAGGTCTGGAGTTTAGGTCCTCAAATTGGAGGTTTTAAGTGAGGGTCCTCACATGTACAGATAGACAGACGTGTCTGTGTGTGTCGTACTTGTAGCAGTCGTTGTTGAAGCGGTTGTAGCTGCCCAGAGCCGTCAGAGCGCCGAGTCCGATGGCGTACGAGAAAAAGATCTGAGTGCCAGCGTCGATCCACACCTGAGGAGAGATCAGACGTCAGGTCAGCTGTGTGATGCGTTCACTGCCCAGCTCAGACATGGGACATTCAATGTTTTTGACTTTTTACATGAAACAGATAAAAAGAGAAGGAGCCTGACAGGCAGAACTCAGGGCATCATTACCCCTTCACTGTGACCTCACCTGAGCCTCCCCCAGTTTGGACCAATCAGGTTTAATGTAGTACATGATGCCGTTGATGGCTCCGGGAAGTGTGACGCCTCTGACCAGCAGGATGATGAGGACCACGTAGGGGAAGGTCGCCGTGAAGTACACGATCTGAAACACACACACACACACACACACACACACACACACACACACACACACACACACACACACACACACACACACACACACACACACACACACACACACACACACATACACACACATACGGGGTTTATGTTAAAAACACACCTGACACCTGATGTTTATGAAATCACAGATAAAGTATTTTAATAAACCATTCAGGTGTTTCAATTCAATGACGCCCTGTTTTGTGGGCGGTGGTTAGCGGTGCCAGGTTAGTCATATCAGAAAGTTCTGGACCATGTTGAAACAGGCTCAGGCTGAAACACTGAAACAACAGGTGAACTGATTGACCCTCCACTCCTCCCTCACCTCATTCATCAAACTCTGACACTGACAGGAAAAGGAAAACAGAGGTATGATCATCTACCTCTGAGTCTGATCTGTGGGAATCAGGGCAAAGAAAACAGCCGAGAGGAAACTAAACAAGAACCTGATCTGAACCTGCTGAGACTGTACACACACACACACACACACACACACACACACACACACACACACACCACACACACACAGAAGAATTTGGAGTTTCAGCACCATGGAGAGCGTCTGGTCCCAGGTTGAATCGAGTTGCAGTCAAATCACAGCAGAGAACGTTTTTCTACAAGATACACACACACACACACACACACACACACACACACACACACTCTCTCTCTCTCTCTCTCTCTCTCTCTCTCTCTCTCTAACTCTCTCTCTCTCTCTCTCTCCTGCTGAGGATCAACAATAAATTCTGTTTCTTTTGGTACTGAGAGTCATGTGAACGCTGCAGGATATGAACTGAAGTATAATAATAACAAACTTCACTCACTCAGAATATAATCAGATATGAGACAACGTCTGCACTGATTAAATCACAGATAAAAAGTTCCTGAGTTAAAGAATAACCTGTGTACGTGTAAAGTGTGAAGCTGTGAGATGTTAATGTTCTTCTTTTACAATGCTGTCGGAATTATTTTATCTTCTGTTAAACTGAAGGACTCTGTCCGGAACCAATTTCCTTCTAAAGTCATAAAATATATCTCAATAAGATTAAAACAACACAAACAAAACAAAACATTCATTAGATTAGAATCCTTTGAATGAAGAAAAAGCTGAAGTTGTATCCATCAACGGTAGAGTTTAAAAAGTATAAATGATGAATGGACTTGAGCTTCAGACTACTCAAAGCACTTTAACACCACAGAACACTACACATTCACACAGTGATGGTAGAGGCTGCTGTGTAAAGAGTCCATCAGTATTAACTCATCCATTCACACACTGATGGTAGAGGCTGCTGAGTAAAGAGTCCATCAGTATTAACTCATCCATTCACACACTGATGGTAGAGGCCGCTGAGTAAAGAGTCCATCAGTATTAACTCATCCATTCACACACTGATGGTAGAGGCGCTGTGTAAAGAGTCCATCAGTATTAACTCATCCATTCACACACTGATGGTAGAGGCTGCTGAGTAAAGAGTCCATCAGTATTAACTCATCCATTCACACACTGATGGTAGAGGCTGCTGAGTAAAGAGTCCATCAGTATTAACTCATCCATTCACACACTGATGGTAGAGGCTGCTGAGTAAAGAATCCATCAGTATTAACTCATCCATTCACACACTGATGGTAGAGGCTGCTGAGTAAAGAGTCCGTCAGTATTAACTCATCCATTCACACACTGATGGTAGAGGCTGCTGAGTAAAGAATCCGTCAGTATTAACTCATCCATTCACACACTGATGGTAGAGGCCGCTGAGTAAAGAGTCCATCAGTATTAACTCATCCATTCACACACATTCACACCTGATGGTAGAGGTTGCTGAGTGTGTGTGTGTGTGTGTGTGTGTGTGTGTGTGTGTGTGTGTGTGTGTGTGTGTGTGTGTGTGTGTGTGTGTGTGCAGGTATGTCAGAGAGATAAAAACATTCTTCTCCACACATGTGCGGTGTGTTTGTTCACAGCAGCAGTTTGCATGGCAGCAAGTCGTTTAAAACCCACTGAATGTGAAGTAAACAACACGTTCTTCTGCTTGTGTTTCTGGTGGATTTATTATCCAGCTGAACTCTTTCTGTCCCACATCAACACATCGTGAATCTGTACAACCAGAGCTAAAGAGATGCACTCTGTGAGTAGTTACACACACTAAGATGTTCTCATAGTCCACTGCACAGCTCCTACATTACACCTTTTGTACATTTTGTGTTTTTTATTTTTTATATTTTATTTTTTATTTTTTATATTTTATATTTTATTTTTTATATTTTATATTTTATATTTTACATTCTGATTCTGAAAAGGTTTTAAGTCAATAAAAAGGCAACGCGTACTCATCCAGCTTTGAGGATTGCAAGCGGGTTTAGAATCCTTTAAGAATCAGGACCTATGTTTTATCAAACTTCTTCCATCCAGTTATTCTATAAAGCAGGCGTGCAGATTAAACACAGGTGTAGGTGTGATCAGCTGATCAGTACATATAAAGCACAGTGCTCATAGTGTTCATGTCTCTCAGTCACGTCCCACTGCAGTCACTGCTGCCCTCCCTCTGATCGACCAATCACAGCCTGCTACCTCACATCCCCCACACTGTCCCTCCTCATCCCCCTGCACTGTCGTAGCCATGGCAACGCTTAGCCTGCCATGTGACAGCGGTGAGTACGAGTCTCATCGTCACGAGCCGATGAAACACACACACACAGACACACACACACACACACACACACACGCAGCTGTATGGTCCCATTTGGAGGTTGTGGCTTTAAAGGGACAGTCTCAAGTTTTTTCATAATAGACTGGATGCTGGAGGACGCTGTTAGCTTAGCTCCATCAAAGGAGGAGAAAAGTCGACCTTTAAAATAATGACACTAACGGAGCTCCCTTTTCATTATTCCTAAAAAGTAAAAAAAAAAAAAGTGCAATAAAATTAAAGAAAGAAACATTTATATATTTTCTAGCTTTCTTCTCTGATGTGATGCAGCAGACCAATTAGCTGTCAGGTGACCTTTGACCTTCAGCAGTGTTATGTAATTGAGCGGGAGCCCAGCTGTTAGCTCACTGAACCACCTGACAGTCAGTTTTATGCTCTGCGTGCGTGTGTGTGTTTGTGTTCTTGATTTAATAACATTGTGGGGACACAATACCAGACTGACCTTGTCGGGGACACAATATTTTATTTTATAAATTGATTTATGATTTACTGGAAGCGGCAGTAGCTCAGTCTGTAGGGTTCAGACCAAAGTCTGGAAGTTGGTCTGGTAGCTGGAGAGGTGCCAGTTCACTTCCTGAGCACTGCTGAGGTGCCCTTGCTCAAAGCACCAAATACCTACCAAGCTCAGGAGCGCTTGCTGTGTGCAGCCTCCTCACTCTGACTTGTGTGTATATTTCAGCCTGTGTGTGTGTGTGTGTGTAGCATGTTCAACAACATAGTGGGAAACAAAACGCAAACAAACAGTAGAAATATGTGAAATGGTGTTCATTTGTTTTTGCATTACAGTTACCATGAGCGCAACATTTAGCAAACCAGACTCATGTTGAACAGCCATCTGACACAACTGTGTTGATATGTGATGTATATTTAGTTTCTTATGTTCGACAGGGACCATGCACAGAGTTAGCTATGGCCAATGTCCTTAAACAGCATGTACCTTCCCAGTGGATTTGACTCCTTTCCAGACGCAGAAATAAACCATAACCCAGACGGCCATCAGACACAGCATTAGCTCCCAGTTAAACTCTCCGACATCATCCAGACCAGTGGAGATGTTCAGCACCTTGTTCCTGCAGAGAAAGGAGAAAGACATTTACATCACAGCCTGAAAACATTCAAGATTTACAGAACTTTTTTAGTAGTTGCCTTGGGATGTACTTCACTTAGCTTAGCATTAAGACAGCTAGCAGGGAGAAACAGGAAGCCAACATGAAAGATCCTGAACATTAAAGAGGACATATCATCCCCCTTCTCCACCTTTTCAAACAGTCCCCTGTGGTCTAAATACCAGGGGAGGGGAGTGGATTTCTTTTACCAGAATCCCACTGTGACATCACAAGGAAAGCACATTTGAAACAGAGCATTTTTCTCTGTGTTGTAAGACTTATGCAGACCACAAACAAAGGACTGGATGGGTTTATTTCACATGTTGTGGGTCAGTAGACACTCAGGTTACCCAGATATATGTTCAGAAACACTGTAGAAGTGGATTTTTCATAATATGTCCCCTTTAACAACTTCTGTGTCATGCATTTTAGGCTACTCAGCTATTAATGAAACCCTTATCAAGAAAAGCAGTCATACTGTAGGTCGCATTTAAATTGCAAGGATACACATCTACAATCATGCCAATATCAATTATCAGGATTTTATTGAGGGCAATGAGGCTTATCAGAAGGTTGCTTCTGCAGAGTCTATATAAAGTCCTGATAATGGACATTTCAAAGTACACTCTCCAGCTAATACTAAGGATACTTGCAAAAGAAAAAAAACACAAGACCACTGATTTAATGTTTCCATGCATTTTGCAATCATATGTAGACTTCGAGCATTTGAGTATTCACCAAGACAAGGGTGTTATATCCTTTGTATTGTGTTCAGAGAGGCGGCACTTTAACCACGTCCTTGGTTATCTTAAGGTTTGGAACGATCAGAAGAAAAAGATGTAAAAGAGGATCATATTCCTTTATTCATTAACTCTATTATCCTCGTACTGTCTTATGCAATCCCCTGTCTGTCAGAGCTGCTGACCTGGCATCGGTGAACTCCGTCACCTCACAAACATTTTCACCTTGTTAACAGCCAGCTTTAACAGTTATTATAATTTTCATTATGTTAAATCTGGCTGTGCTTCAGTTTGGACATCCCTTTTCCATATATAAGAATTAAAAGACTTCTGAAGAATAAAGCAAAGTTGCTATTTACCAAATGATTTTAGGTATTATTTTGTGTTTGTGAAGTTGATGTCCCTGGGGGAGGGGTAAAAACATTTTTTTTTAAACATTATATTAAAGTCTGTGGTTCCCAGATTTTAAAAGCTCTTTCCGGAAAAAAAGAGAGTTCAGGTTTCAAGTTCAGGTCGACCTGCTTCTACTTTTATTACTGGAAAGGCAGCAAAGGATATAGAGCCTTTAGTGAAGAAAATTATGTGGTATATTATTAAGATTCATACAGAATTTTGGGGTTGATCTGGAAATCCGATCTGATCCACGATCAAAATCCAAGATCCGATCCAAACCGTAGGATTTGTGATGTGTAACACCACTACTGACAATACAATATTACAACCGCAGACAAACAGGGATGAGTCAGATTAAAAACAAGGACAATATTTTCCTATGACTCGGTGGTTACTGTTTTGGCCGACATCAAGTCCTATATAAAGAAAATAAAAAAGAAGTAACAGATAACTGGTGTTTTTCCATGTTTTTCTGTTGCAGAGGAAGAAGATGTATCAGGCTGTGACACACACACAGTACGGGTTTATAGATGAATCCTCTATTGGATTGTCTCTGAGCATGAGATTCTTTTAGAAGAAAAGTCAGTCAGGGATATCCTTTAAAATCAGTAACTAAAAAGATGTAATTTAATAACTTTTTCCCCTTTACCATAACTTCAGCACTTCTATTTATATTTTCCAAACAGTTGGAATAAAAGTGTTTGTAATAATAACATCAGTCACTTGCACATGGATGATTTGCAGAGAGAAACTAGAATTACAAAAACATGTAATTTCCAGATGTAAGCAGACGGGTCAGGCCCATTCAAACTGGTGCTGAGAGGATTGTTTTTTAACATATTCTTCCATCCAAAAGATCCAAAAGTCACAGCATGAGATCAGTTTACAACGACGACAACTCAGGTACATCCTCGTTAATCATCAAACTCGTTAATGGTCCGCCCTGATTCAACTCATACGGTCTGCTCGACGATTGGTTCGTGCAGTATGAAGAAAAAGAAATTAATTGTGAGCTTTGGTCATGCGTCGCAAATGATTCAGAAGTACAGTTTTAGACATTCGACCATGACTTCTATCTGATTGTACGGTGTGTGTCAGGCTTAATATGAAGCAGAATTAAGTTGAAGTACTTTCCAGTTAAAAATGTACGATCGGGAAACATTTCAACCCAAGCTAAAATCAGTTAAATACCTGAAAATAATGTGAAATCATCAAAACAACTTCACCTGTCTAATCAGGGCTAACCCTCTCTCAGAATAAGACCCGCCCCTTGATTCTTAACCCACCAACCAGAACAAAACAGAAGCACAACTCACTCCCAGAACTCGATGATGGGCGATCGAGCCTCAGCCAGCTGGCCGCAGGTCAGGTTGCCGCTGATGGTGGTGTTGGCAAGGCTGGCATTGTTGCAGTCCTGGTGTCGGAAGATCTCGAGGCAGCTGGGCGTGTTCCATTCGTTGTCACAGGTGGACCAGGGGAGGGTGGCGTTAAACGATTTGATCAGGTAGTAGAAGCCCCACGCCAGCACCATGATGTAGTAGGTGTTACAGAAAAACACGATCACCATGGAGGCATAACCCAAACCTGAGACAGAGGAGGACATGACACCATGAGATCCGGAGAATCTGCTGAGTGGCATCAACTACAATGAGGGGGCGTTCATTTTGCTTACACTGCAGAAAAGTTCAGAAAAAGATATCATTCAACCTTACAGTAAGAGTCTAAATAAAGACAAAACCCTCCTAGGATTATACACAACAATCTTACAGGAGAACTCATATGGATAATTCAGTTACCAAGATTGTAGATCAAGCTCAAGAATTCAATAAAGATGTTCCTTTTTTATGTTCTCTTTCTATAAACAACAAATCAGCATGAGACCTGAAATCTCATCTGTCCTCTTCTGGCTATTTAAAAGTAAAATAAGTGGTTACTTTGCCTCAATAAACTGTAAAATCTTTGTGAAAGGGCTTAAATCATTCTCAGACATTGAAATATAAAGTTGGGTATCATCTGCATACAATGAGAGTCCCATTTAAAGTTACACATTCTTTTAAAGAGGTTCAATGTTTATAGTACATATTTGGGCTTTTTTTGTGTGTGCCTTTAATGGAGAGATAGGACAGTGGATAGAGTCAGAAATCAGGGAGAGAGAGAGTAGGGAATGACATGCGGGAAAGGAGCCACAGGTGGGATTCGAACCTGGGGCGACGGCTTGGAATACCATAGCCTCATTACATGGGGCGCTCGCATTAACCACTGCGCCACCAGCGCCCCATGTAGTATATATTTTAAACTATAACTTCCCATTCTGTGTAGTGTTACTGGTTTAAATAGAGTCCTAAAAGTTTATGAGCCATATTGCATAAGAGAAATAAAAACAGGAGCTGAAGTCGGCGAGGTCAAGTTGCCCTTTTCTGGTTGATAAACTGGGTCAAATCTGTAAACATGCATTCATACGTTTATGAGCAGCAGTAACACACGGTCACAGATCAACTCCAACTGTACCTGACCTCCTGAACACCTGAACAGGTTATGAGCTACGTGTTTTTCCTCACTTTTTTGTCCAATGGTTCAGGCTAACTCCTCTGCAGACTGTCAGCAAGAAAAGAAGACTTAAAGATCTGTGATAATCAATAAGACTGTGATCCCTGATCATTTCTATTTAACTCTACATGTTGGCTTTTCAAAGCTTCTTTTGAAGATGTTTAAAAAAGGGGGAGGGTGGGGCGCTAATAGCCTAGCGGTTATGATGCGTGCACCATATACAGAGGCTATAGTCCTCAGCGGCCGTGGGTTTGAATCCGGCCTCGGCCCTTTGCTGCATAATATCCCCCCTCTCTACTCCCAACATTTCCTGTCTCTCTTCAGCTGTCCTATCTCATAAAGCCAAAATGTCCCAAGAAGCAGCAAGAAGGCTTTTAATGACATAATTGTGCCCTTAAAGAGCCAGGTTGTTTGGTTAATGTGAAAAGGACTACACAGATCAGTGCTCAGCAATGAAACATTGGAAACATTTGATATTTACGGTTTCATATTGGGGCGGACCTGACATCCTTCCAATTAGATTTGCTAACTCTGTACACACCTCATAGCAAAGGAAAAAAAATGTACTAACTGCAAGTAAGAGAGAAAGGTCTGCACACTGCTCAGATCTCAGTGGGTAATTCTATTTAAACAGGGCAACAGTTTGCACTCTTAATGGCCCGTTGGACTCTGCTTTCCATTGTGGAAAGGAGAGAATCAGGCCCAAAAAACGTCCCTGGTTATGTCGTAGTTTAAACCCTGCTTCAATCTAATTTTGTTTGAAAGGGTTTTTTTTAACCTAAGCGTTCCTCCTTTGCAACATTTAATCAGCACTGCACACCATGTCCAGCACAAAAGATATTTTTAAACAAAAGCCTGCATTCAGCACTGCACCGTCAACAACTTTGTAACTTAATGATCCTTCATGAAACTGTCAGATAAGTTTGAAGCACAAAGACTGGTGACTTCTCTGTGTTCCTCCGGGATGTTTTTAACTCCGCCGACTTTAAGAGCCAGAGGAAGGATTCCTGTTCTCACCAGAACAACTAAAGATCTCTGATTTCTTGATAAGTTTTCTTTTACCCTGCACGGCAGATTATTTCCATTGCTTCCATTCAGCTTCCTCAAAGACAGCGTGAAGCTCTGCTGCCCATGGAGAGTACAAATAAAGTAACCCGAACCTGCAGCTCTCCAAACGCCCTCTACAAGTACTTCTATCTCCAACAGAGAAACTTTGCCCTTAAAGTGTTTTCATAGGTTTCATGTTTTGTTGACAGAATCTGGTTTTGGCTCACGTCTGTCAAACACAAAGACTCAAACACTGACCCAATCTGTTTCTGTTTTATTGTTGCTCTCCAGAGGATGCACTCCTCTCCCTGTTCGTACAAACTTCAACCTGTTCAGCTCCCTACAGGTGAGACTCTAAAGCAGATAAGGACACGTCGACTGTGACACTGTGTCATATAGTGGATGAATGAGCAGGTGGAGTCGAGTAAACGTCACCTGAAGTTTTACACCTTCATTCAGAGTCATGAGCTCACCCGTAAAAGATCACACACCTGATAAACACAAACACAGATATATGAAGGCATCAGGTGTGTGTGTGTGTGTGTGTGTGTCTCTGGTAGTTTTCCGGCCGTGTGTGTTGGCACGTACAGCGGGATCACAGATTATCACCTCGAGATAAACCAGGATGACTCAGAGCTGAATGTGATTCTGCAGAAAGATGTGTTCATTCACTCTCACCTTACTGCATGGGCTTGGGGTCGGTGGTAACATGTGATAACACGGACTCATAAAGACTCAAAGTTGTGTCGACATGCTGGTCGGCGGGTTTACATTGGAAAGCAGCTAATAGACATCTGTGACCGATGTTGAAAAATTTCACAGATTTCACCCAGAAGTCGGCTCTAATCAGAAGATTCTTCACATATTAAAATCTCTTACATGGCCCATTGGGAGCTGAACAGTGCACACTGCAGACTTTCCTGATCTTATTTATTATTTGGCTAAAACGATTGTGTGTCTGAGCGGTGCACCACCCTAACCCCATAAAACGATCTCACTGTAAAAGAAAAAGCCCCAAAAAACATTTTACCAACACTTCCTTACACATCAAAAATCTGTTATTAAACAGGAATGTAGTCTACATTTCTACAATTCACTTATCAGACTCTTTTATCCAAAGCGACGTACATCAGAGAGTAAGAACAACACAAGCAAGGATCTAGAAAAAAGGGAACAATGTCAGTAAGAGCAAACGATCAGCTTTGAGTCTGATTGGACACACAGGTGCTGACAGGAAGTGACCACAGGTGCTGACAGGAAGTGACCAGAGGCAAAGCACAACATTGAGGGCAGTTCTTGAGAGCTCTAATCAGTATAGAAACCATCTTATAAGTCGTCGTTATCAAACAAAAACCATCGTCATTACCATCATCATCAATAATATGGAGACCATCATCATTAAGTTAGTAGGTATTCATGAAAGAGCTGGGTCTTTAGCTTTTTCTTAAAGGTGCAGAGGGACTCTGCAGATCACATGGAGTTTGGAAGTTCATTCCACCACCAATTCAGTCATTCTGGGTTTTCTGGTCACCAATCGTCTGCAGTAGTGAGAACATTCAGACAGCTCACCTGCTCCTGTGTGCCATGATGAGAACAGTATGTTTTGAACGGAGACTTGTGGAGAAAGTGTCCTGAGCTGTTTACAATCTAACAAACTGCTCGTCTGTCAGCGCGATGAACTCATCAGTTACAGTTTCACTCCTCAGAGCCAGCACGTCTTTAGACTCTGAGAGCACACAGTGTCGAGTTCAGGCAGCGAGGAAACAGAGCTGTGATGTGAAAATGTAACTGAAGCCTCGCAGGACCAGAGGTCAGAGGGAGACATGAGTTTGACTGAAAGTCTCTGTAGATAAAAAACGTTTCTTTACAGAGCAGCTCTGAGACGTTTTATTATGTTTCTTTTAGCTGAATCAGACTCAAAGAGACTGAAAGATGTTTGAACTGAGAAGGGTTTTGCGTACTGTACCTTTAAAGAGCGGAGCGATGTTCCACACGTTGATGCTGCCGGCCTTCATGAACTGTCCCAGGGCGATCTCCAGGAAGAAGATGGGGATCCCTCCGACAAAGACAACAATCATGTACGGGATCAGGAAGACGCCTGCGGGACGAGACAAGGTCACAATGTTTTAAATCAGACTGAATAAATCACACAGAGTAGATTCATGTAAGGCTGGATAATATACAGCAGCCAGTATGTCCTCCTTCTAACTTTAGATTCTGCTCCTGAATGCTCTAGATTTGTTTGGACCAGAGAAGGTAGGCGCTTTTAAGACACCCCCCCACACGGCTGTTTTGGACGCCCCTCAGTTTGTCAGATATGAGAGCAGTTATCAGGTCAACAGGTGTTGCAGCGATGAGAAGTGGTTCAGATAGAAGTGATTGTACCCGACCTAAAAAGCCTCTGCATGTTTCTAATAAGCTCCACGAGCAGAAACGTGCTCAAACTAGGATCAATATTGGAGATGCTTTTGAAAAATGGAGAGAGGTTAGAACACAGAAAGGTTTACAGACCCATGCAGAGCTGGATAAACACTGAAGCTTCAGAGTCCACCACATGGTGACCTGAGTGAGCATCCACTCTAGAGAGGGGGGGGGGGGGACAGCTCTCTATGGTGTTTAGAATTTAGACTGCAGTACACATTTGAAACACTAGGTGTCAGAGTTACATACTGCTCCTTTAATTCTGCTCGACTTTAATAAGTCAGAGCCTCTCGGTGGGTAATTTGGGTCTCATGTTTATTTCAGCAACATCATGAGGAGAGATTTATGTAACTGACGAGGACAGACGTGAATCTTCCTTCGTCCTCTGAGAGGAGTTACAGTCTCATTTTATCTCTTTAATCATTTTTAATTCAAATTTTAATCCCGTCTTTGTCTGAACACACTGAAGGACGAGAGGAGGAGAGAGGACGGATTTACACCCCGTTTATCTCGGAGGGAAAATGTTTGGACACCGAAACTGAACAAATGTGGAAAGATTAAAAACTGTGGAGGGATTTATCGTCCCACTGCTCCTCACAGGGAAGTGTTGTTTCTCCTCTTGAAGTGGTTGTGAAAATTATATAGACTCTAAAAATGCACCGTTAAGTTTCCTGCTTTAAATTTTTTTTGTCTTTCAAAAATGTCCAAATTCAAAATGAGATAAAAACAATGATTTAACTCAAATATCTGTGTTCAAACAAGTCCACCACACAGGACTTTAAAAATAAAAGTGTTAAGATGGAGATGTAATAGTTTTCTAAAGAGGTGGTTCCTAACCTGGGCTCTCTACAATGTTTTAAGTTTGGACTGCAATACCCATTTTAAACATTAGGGGTCAGAGTTACATACTGCTCCTTTAATTCTGTTCGCCTTTAATAAGTCAGAATCTCTCGGGGGGGGAAATGTCGGTCTTCAGAAAACATAAAAACTGCACTTGTTATTAAAGGGAAATGGAATTAAATAAACTGTAATGATGCTTGTCCACTTTGGGCTTCCGTACCTAAGATGTTTATGATACACTGTCTCTTTAAAGAATTAATGAATGAATACTCCTAAAATACCCTCTCTCCCTCACTCTGATGCAGGGCGAGAGACATGAATGAACAATTAGTGATGCTCTCTCTCTCTCTTTCTTTTGTTGTTGGTATTTTAATTACTGTGATGGAAGTCTACACATACATACACACACACAAACACCCAACATGCGGGGGGGGGGGGGGGGGGGGGGCGGGTAACTGGGTCACAGTGCCAACAGGAACTGGTATGAATGGAATTAAACTGGAATGATACTGGGAAACAGGGAGGGAAAATGGGGGAGGAGGGGTGATTATGTGAGCCAGGGGTTACATAACAGAGGCTGCATTTCATACTGCGCTATTATACAAGGAGAGAGAGAGTGAGCGGGCGAGCAAGAGAGAGAGAGACTCCCTCCAATACAATCATCTATAACAGCTGATTATCTAGCATAAACGTTTGGTGGAACTCGAATGCGTTTGCCAAGTTAGTGCAGTTCGTCTGTGTTGGTGTGAAAGCTGTCAATCAAACCCTGGTCAGACCAAACGCCCGGATAGAGACCGCTTGAGAGGGTGGGTCTTCTGGACTCTGGTGCGGTTTGCTTCTAGTAAGAAGCATTGCGCTTTTTTTGGATTAAGAAAGAAGATATGCTCAAAGGTTTTCCTCAGGTCATAATTTATAAAACACTAAAATTGTCTGTAGGTGTGAATGTGAGTGTCTGGTTGTCTCTCTCTATATGTCAGCTCTGTGATTGTGACAGTCCAGGGTGTAACCCCGCCTCTCGCCCAATGACAGCTGGGGTCAACTCCAACCCCCCGCGACCCCTAAAGGGAAAAGTTGTATAGACAATGGATGAATCTACTTTATTAATATTTACCCACACAAATAAAGATATAAATGATGTCTATTCATAACTGAGCCAATTAGATTCTAATATTCTCTGTGACATTGAGTCATAATGGGGGCTACACACACACACACACACACACACACACACACACACACACACACACACACACACACACACACACACACACACACACACACACACACACACACACACACACAGTTCCTGTATTGACTGCTGATGATATGACCTCCTCCTACCATCATTGATGACGTAAGTTAAAATAAAGCTACGCAGGTTAGCATTAGCCTGATGCTAGTCTGATACACACAGTTATTAGGTGTTACCCTTTAGCACAGCTTAGCATGAAAACCTACAAGCTGTCGTGAGTCACAATGCAGCAAGAGAGAGAGAGAGAGAGAGAGAGAGAGAGAGAGAGACGGGGGAGGGGGCGACCATGCCTGCAGCTCAGTAACGTCCCTCAAAGAAACACACACACACACACTCAGAGCTACGTTGGCGTAATGCCATTAGCTCATCAGTAACTCAGTGATGATGATATTATAAACAACTATATCCTCATCACAGCTGCACACACACACACACACACCTGCTGCTAACACACATGCTCCTGTTTCATTCATAAAATACCAGAATGTTTCCTCGTGCAGACTCACATGTTGTTATATTTAGACTCTGTTATGTAGCATTCACAGAGAGAGTGATGGTTAAAGGAGAACAACTGAAATTATTTGTCTCTTAAATAAGGTAAAAAACACAGAAATTATAAAAATGCAACAATACTTTAAAAAAGTAAAAGTCATTTATCTCTCATTTATCTTCTCTTAAGTTTTTAGAATCAACAGGTAAGAGGGGGTGAGAGAGTTACACCATCAGAGTCAGGACAGGTGGGACGAACTCGCTCTGCAGAGCCCAGGTGTCACAATGAGCATCACAAAGCAGGTAACAGGTGAATGAGGTGGTGCCCCGCACTGTGTGGTGTCAGCTAACTCGTCGAGCACATGGTTCACTCGGACCTGAAACTGAGACTCGGGACAGAAATAGAGCCACGGCTGCAGTTAGCTCGCTAAGCTGCAGCGCTACACTTAGCTAGCTAAGCTGGCTAATCCAGGGTAAGTCACTGGGCTAAGTATTGCGAGGCTGACAGGGCCGATGACTGAGCACGAGCTTTGACAAAAAGATTTGAAAGGAACACAAAAATATTTCACCAAATGAAAATAAATATTTCTTGAAACAGAGAGGGAAGGATAACGCTACTCGTCTGTGATTGGACAAAACCCAAGGCGTCAGCATCAGTCACACGTAATTCCTGTTAGTATTTCCATTTCTATATATATCTACCATTTTATTTTCACTGAAAACTTCGGTCAAATAAGCAAAACGTGAACAGGTTATGATGTATGACTAGTGCAGAGGAAAAAATGCAAAATGTTTTTTTTGCGCTTCACAAAATGTTTTTTTTGCGCTTCACAAAATGTTTTTTTATGTATTTCAACTCATATTCAATTTTAATTGTTCCCAAAGGGCGATTCATTTTGCACCAAGGCGTGTTTGCATTATATGAAATGTTTTTGCGCTTCACAAATCAGGAAGTATCAGAAAATATTTGTGCAATTTACCAAATGGTTTTGTATTTTATGAAATATTTTGCTCACTTGTTTTAAGAGTTATGTAAACTTGATTTAAGTTCATGTGGGCAGATCTTCAGTAATTTGACAACCCCTAAAACAGAAAAAGCTTTGGTGTCCCTAGCAGAGGGCCCGGACCCCAGGTTGGGAACCATTAACATATAATAAGTAAAGATTAACGGAGATGCTAGCTTGAAGAATCTGCTGGTTCAGGACACTTCAGCAGGATTTAAATCTTCATTATAATCAGACTGAAAGGAGAATCCCCGTTCTTCCTTTGGTTTGATCTTTAACTCAAAGAGACTTTAAATGTTTGGAGCGTGGAACTGATTAAAGGTTGTAGTGATCCGAATGAAAATCAGCTGTGATTTGAGTTCAGTTCGTGTCCCTGACTGTTGCTAACATATTTGGCTCGTCTTAATCTGATCTCTGCCAAGCTGACCCTGGATCAGCAGGACGCCTCATCACGCCGCTGGATCCAACAGGCTTTAATTAACACTTGAGGGTTTATTTATCACATTAACCAAATACAGCGTGCAGTCAGACTTTCATTAATAACAGCTACATCCTGTTAAAGAAAGTGTTTCTATATAAAGAGTTTGTTCTTTTCATTGATTTTATTTTGTTAAATTACAGAATCAGATTTCTCAGATTTCAGAGATTTAAGTTGCCCAGGGCTGCAACTTAAAATCACTTTTATTTCTGATTTATCCTTCAATTATTCAGTCCAGCAGTGAAGCACCAAAACTTTAAATGATTACATTTTGAAATTTAGATTTATTAAATTTTTAACCACATGTTTAAAATTCCATTATTTCACATTTAAAATAGTTAGGCTTTTATTTTGAAACATCATACTGTCTTAAACTGAGAGTACTTTAATTCCTGTGTGCTTTTATTTTGAAATAAAGTAAGGCCCTTCCTGTAGATGGAAGGTTAGGACAGGAAGTTAAGCCCAGAAACAGGAAGTGGTTAGGGATCCCAAACTGACGTCAAACAGCTCAAAGGAACGGAAACAAAGGTCAATGTGTGATGTCATAAGGTGGAGCTGGGGATCGAACCCGGGACCTTCCGGTTGAGAGACGACCGACTCTTAATCGCGATAAA